AGAAAAGTCAACATGACGGGCCTCTGAGAAGTAGAAAGGGACAATAGAAATGCCTACAAAAGTCTAGGAAAAATGACGAAATACACAGTCCTCCATACGATCAATGTAATCCACAAAAGGCCTATTAGTGCCAACACCAAACCACCTAGAGATGCAAAGGAGAGAGTTGCGTACTTGCTTGGTAACAGGTCGTCCCTCTGTATCTAGGACAGGCTAACCCTCTGCATCAAGAATGTCTTCGGTGAAGAAAGGTTCATACTCCTTGGGAACGGGACCCATAGTAGGGAACCGCTCATAAAAGAAAGCGGTTAAGAACTGGGTGTGCACAAAACTCCATACATCATACCAGCCCATGGATCTCTCCATGTCCAAGTGAATGAGGTCGAGACGGAAATACAAATTCCCCAAAAAGAGAGGAGCCAAGGGAATTTGATTGCCGCTACAGAGTTTGACGACAAGAGGGAACACCAATAGGTTAATGCTCTCGGCAAGGTTGCTGGGAAGAACGAAGAAATAAATGAAATAACTAACAAATGTAGCCAAGTACAAGTTGCCACGGTAACCCGGGCCAACTATGGAGTTGCAATTGTCCTCTGTAATGTCACCCACGATCGGTTGCATGTCCTTGAAAGGAGAGGTAAGTTGTCTTGTCCCTCTTTGGCCTCTCTTGAAGTAATTCTCCAGTCTTGGGATCATACCAAGAGTCGTATTTCGTGCTTCTCAAAAGGCACCTTGAAGACCACTAACAACAATTTGCTCCGCAACAATTAGGGATGCAAGGTCAAAAGGACCATGGGTGCTTAGGCGTAATAGAATAGTAACATCCTCAAGAGTTGGGGTTACCTCTCCCCAAACAAGAACAAAAGTATGGGTGTCACAGCTCCAATGAGAAACAACCATATTTGTATTGGTCTGTACCTTGCGTATAGACAACTCCCTCGAAATCAATATAGCATTAAAGAGACGAACAGCCCTCAAACGCTACTCAAAGTCGTTGTCTACAATGACGTCATCGACCCAAAGGGACCAGTTGGCTAGAGGGCCTGAGTGAGTGCGGTAATAGATGTATAAATGGGGGAATTCACCATACTCAACTCGGAATCGCAATACTGAAACGAGGTTGACCATGTCAACGTCATCTATGGAGGCCTCGCCAAAAGGAAGAAGAAGTTCTTCTAGAGAAGGGGCATCAGGAACAAAAGAGTCAACAGCTTTCTAGAATGGGTTGGCAAGCCCCCCAAAGCATGGGGCTCTTCTCCATTCAGCCCTAGGTGGGACCCTGTCTGCTAAGAATCTGGTTGTGGCCGTGAAAAAGAATAAAGAAAAGAGAAGAAGACTTTGGAAGAAGGAGGCTAGAGAGAAAAGAAGACAAAAAGATTGGTTTTGGAGAAAGTGGGGGACTAGTGGACCCAGAGGGTCCTATTTATAAAGAAATCAGCGAAAAGGTGCCAACACGCTTCCCCAGGACCATTATGACCCATCAGTCAAACACATTTTTCCAGAGTCATCATGACCCTACAAAGAGCCGACGCAACTTCTGACCCAACCGACGCAACCCCAGGGTTACTTGTTGACATCATGCACGCACGGGAAACAAGGGGCGTGTCCCCCACGCACGCAAGAGGCAAATGTAGAGGGTTAGAAATTAAGGTCCAAATTAAGTATAGACTTAAGTGCTGAGGTCACCCCTTTTAGGCGACCAAAAATGCCTAAAGGAGCATGGGCTAAAGCCCAAGAGAAGTGGGTCGACGGTAGGCCGAAGCAGGTCTGACCCGCCAAAGGTCCAAATAGACTCCATGAAGGAAAATATCTAAGTGAAGTTGCAGAGGGAACACTTGCAACAGTCAAGTTGCTAAGGCACTTTGCCTCAGCACTGTCATTCCCAATATTGTTGGTTCCACAGCCATCTGAACTTGCTAAGGAAAAGAGAAAATTGAAGCAACTTAGTTGTAGAGGCGACACTTGCAGCGGTCAAGTTCCAGATTTACTTTGTCTTAGCACCGTCATTCCAAGTATTGTTGGTACTGTTGCTATTCCAAGTATTGTCGGTACCACAACCATCTGGAGTTGTTGAGGGAAGGAGAAAGAGAAAACCAAAGCAACTAAGTTGTAGAGGCAACACTTGCAGCAACCAAGTTGCAGAGGCATTTTGTGGGTGCTGCCATCTCTGATATTGTCGGGACTGCCATCTGAACTTGCTACAGGAAACGACTACCGCAACAACTACAATTGCCACAACCAACTTGTAGAGGGAACATCCCGGCAAGGTGATAGCAACCTTTGGGAGAAGTTTCCTCTCTACAAGTAGAGGCTAATGCTTGGCGCTGATAGTAGGCCCCGTGGCATTACTAACCTAGGGCTGATAGCAGGCCTCTCCAAAGTCATTTTTAGCTTGGCGCTAATAGCAGGCCCCAGAGCTCACCAGCTTGGCGCTGATAGCAGGCCCCAAGGCTTACTGGTTGGAACTGATAGCAGACCTAGAGATACCAGTTTACCGCGATGATTCCACGAAGATGGGAGCAGGGTAGCCCAAGTATAAGGGACTCCCTTTCCATTACCCAGGTCATGAATCTACCTTAGTCGCATAGGCAGGACTAAGGAAGCCCCCTTGGGCTTGGTATTAAGGTGCAGCATGACTGATAGCAGGCTTGGCTGTGGCCTTCGCCTTAGGAAGCTAAGGAATTTGTGATTAGGTGGCTAAGGATGGAGGCTTTGCTGAGGTGAACACAAATATAGTCAATAGCAGGCTAATGGAGTCTTGAGAATGCATGTACTAGCTAAATAGATCTGAGAAGGCAAGTACAGTAGCAAGGTTTACCGTTGCAAGTGCACTTGCTGAGGTTCGAGCTGAGAATGCAAATGCAGCGGCAAATACTCTCGCCGCAACTGCACTTGCTGAGGCTCAAAAAGTAGTTGCAGCACCCAACACTCTCGTCGCAACTACACTTGCTAAGACTCAAAAAGGTAGTTGCAAAGGCAAACAGATAGTACACAATACATGCAGAGAGACGCGTGGCACCTTCAGCCTGGTGGCTCAAGGTAGAATATTCTATGTGATCCTTAGGGACACATGTCTTCTCTCTATTTGGTCACCTGGTGTCCTCTTGGTATCAAGGAAAAGCCTATAAATAGGACCCATTTCCCAAGGTCCAAGAAGAGGAATTTTGGAGATTTGGGAGAGATACTGCCCATTTGTGTACTGTCATTCTCTTCTTCTTGAGCTACTTGCTTCACCCTCACCTAGCTGCTCATTCTTCAACTTCCCTAGAGTTTTGCTGACCCATTTTCCAGCCATTCCACCATTGTTGGGCCATTAGCATAGTTTTGCCTCTCTAATTACTACTCACATCGAACCACTCCCTACAATCTTCAAGTACGTCTTTTTAGGAATGTATTATGATATAAACCTTCTTTGGTTTCAAGTTTTTTTTTTATGGGGTAATATTTGAGGTATGTAGAGCATGCAGGAATTTTGATAAAACCTAATTGAGTGCTTTCATTGCCTAAACATTTTTTTTCAAATTTCTAGCCCAAAGTTCCTGAAAATAGTCAACTTCTTTCATTTTATAAAATTCCAGAAAAATCCTCTCATGCTGGTTCTTAAGTAAAATGTTAAACTTTTGAGTCATCTTTCTAACCAAATTTATTTGAGAAAAAAAGGTTGAGCAGTTTGAGAGAATTTATTTTTTCCAATGTATAATAAATCTAGACAGAGTTTAGTAAAATACAAGAATATAGAGTTCTGGTTATGCTATTCTAATTATACAAATTAGAGATCATAGTAGACTTCTTGTTTTATATCTTTCTCAAATTTCAGCCCCCTAAGGTGACCCAGAAGTATGTTCACCAATTTCATATTTTCACCTTTGATAATCTGAAATGCTGGAAATTTATATATCTATGTGTTGATTTGTTTTAAGTGTTTCCAATGACTGGTTTAATGATGATTCTTGCTTTACCATAGCTTGTATACATCCTTATGTGTTATATTTCTTCACATATACTTGTCTCATGTTCAATTTTAGTACTAATTGATTGTGGCTAATTTATATCATAACATACCTAATAATCGAGAAACATAATAGGGTGATAACAGGTGACGCTCACTTGTATTGTTTAGATTAGACTTTGAAATCGTCATTTATGAAATAAAAGGTGACTGAATATGTTACGTAACATGCTAAGTCTTGTGCAAGTGATTGTTTTATAACCCTAGGATAGCTCGATTGTATTCAAACTTTATGCGTCACTTTGTTTTTTGGAAGGATGATGTTGGATCTAGTCAACGATATTCCGGGTGTTGATCCATTGTTTTTAACAATCTATTTTGATATCCTTGATTAGTGCTATACGGTAGATAACCAACATAAGCATCCAAGATACGGTTTACAAAGTAACAAAAGAAAGAATACCAAATAATCCGAGTCCATTAGGAAAAATGAATCTCTTTGGGAGATTCTAGATATTTATACTAACCTCTGACTATGTTGATTTTACTATCATGTTACAGTTATTGCACTAAACGTCATATCTTGTTAAGCATTGTGCTTGTTTGCTTGTATCGGTTATAGTAGTAGCACATAAGAAAAGACAATACAATAAATAGAACTGGATTTGTACATAGATGAAAAATTTAAAAGAGAGAAGAATAAAAGCAAAACAGAGATATGTATTGGAAAAAATAAATAAATCTATTTTACTATTTTGCCCCATTCTACGACAATGCCTGAATGTCTATTACATTGGTTTGGTTTTCTATTTTAAGCTTATTTGATTTAATATGATTAAATTTACTTCATTTCGACCTCCAATAAAATGGATATTTAAGCCACAAACATAAAAGTAACAAAAAAATAAAGAAACCCACATACAAAACAAAACTAAGCTTAGAAATTGGATGAGATTTGGATAGGGATTCCACAATCCAATAAGATCCGTGAATCATAATAAACAACAAAAAAATCCTACCTACTAGGAATTCTCTGCACAATCTGAATCAATTTTGTTCAAATGAATCATAACTTCAAGATTCTAACCACCATGGTTCTAACCCCTAAATGTTCTTTCCATTTAAAGATGATAATGGCACCAATATTGTAATTTCAATACAGCGAGTTGAAAATAACAGCAGCAATGGCACAAAGGCAGGTGACGGCAGCTTTCAGAATCTTGGACAAGAATAAATTCTAAAGTTCATGCATAGTGTAAATGTAAAGTTGGATAGAATTTCAGAACAAAAAGATCCAAGTTTAAAGATGCTTCCAAAAGATTTAAACAAGTACACAGATGGTTCTTTGTTTGTTTGTTTTTTCCCCCATTTCTTGCTCATTCAGGGTCAGTGATCCTCAATCTTTTTCAAACCTTTCATATCTGTCGTTTCCACCCTGCAATTAAGGGAAAAGGAAAAGATGAAAAAGAAAAAGGGGCCACCGAAATCATATTCAGAAGTTCTGAATCAGAACATATGTGATGGACAACAAAGCATGTTAACATATTAGACGCAAGAAACTGCAACAAATATACAATACGTATGGGCACAACAGACAACGGACCCAATAAGAAGAGCTTCAACGATTTTATCTGAAGATCTAGAGGGCAGACAATGTGATGGTAACTAGCAAACATTAAAGATTTTCAGAAGCTTCGTCCAATATGTTGATGGCTTAAATAAGAAAAAAACTAAAAGGTAAAAAAATAAAAATTGGTCCCCGGATATCCAACCACCCACTCCAAAAATATATCAAATAAAAAAAATCCAACACCATAATAATATTACTACATAATTTCAATACCCACTCAGTACCAAAATCAATATCAAAAAGATCACCTACTGTCTAATGACAAAATATCCATAAAAAGAAAAGTAGAACAATGTAAATTCCAACAATATTTGAAGGTGGCTAAAACATAATTGTAGTTAATGAAAATAAAACAATAAAAAGGAAGGTTCAATAGAAACTTACGTCGTTCCATAAAGGACAATCTTTTGCACTTTCGTAATGTCAGAACCAGATTGATTGTCCTCCACAAAAATTGTCAAGCTGACATGGATTCATTAGTAAGATCAATTTGTATTTTCACTAGAGCTCAAGTTAAATATAAAAGGAGCATACAAAGACATTCAAAGTACCTGCGAACATTTTGAAACTTGACATATTTTAAGATCACTGGTTTACCCTACAAAATTACAAATAGAACATAACATGTGATATATCATTTCTATATATATTTTTTCATGAATAAGAGACATTCTTGCAGTAGAAATAAATGCAAGCACTGAAACTCTACCTCGAGAGTATCTGAGGATAAAACAGCTGTGTCACTTGGAGGGAAATCATTGACATTGCTGTAAAGATGATAATTACAAATGATTACTATGAACAGTATTTACTGATAAATCAAATGTGACAATGTCTTGCAAAAACTTCAGTCAACCATAATTCAGAGACTACCTAAATCCCATGTGTTCCCTGTTTGCAAAAAGTTTCACAGTTTTAGGACCTGGAAAACAACTCTGCATTAATAGTAGAACATAATAAATTTTAACAACTGTAACACTTAACATGGATCCAGACAGTTAAATTACCAAGAAACCAGAATACTGTACAAGGTGCGTGCACGAGAAAATCTAAAGAAGTTTAGCCAATCTAAACCAGAAAGACGTTGAAACATGTAGCTCCATTCACAAACAATGTACTCATGATATTGAGCAGAACTACAAGAAACTAGGGCTATACAAGCCCAGAACTCATCCGTTGCACCACTGAAAGCTGAACCAATCAAACCACATGTTTCAACTTGGTTTCATTCATGGTGGTTAGAATCTTATGATTTGTGATTCAATTCGATAGGAGTGAATCTTAGGATTCAATTGCGATTCAGTCTTATTTTCATACAAGAAACGATGTCATTTTCAAAAAATAAAAAAAAAAAGCTCACCTAATTATATAGATATATGTGTGTGTGTGTGTGTGGTTTTATATGTATACACAAATATAATTTAATTATATTGATATTTATTTCATTTTAAACACTCTGTATTTTTATATGTATATACATATAGAAAATTTATATACTGCTAAATAAAGTGAGTCTTAAGATTCACAATTCACTATTTTCACAAAACAATTCACAATATGACATCAATGGTTACATTATTGACTGATTCAGTCTGGATTGGGTTGAAATACCAAGAACTCAAGAAAATCAGTTCAATCTAGGTTCTTAGACTGTTTTGCACTCCCAGAAGTGCAAAACAAGAGATGCCTATTCAATTTTACATCAATGTCATGTCGCCAGAATGTTCATTTTAAGGCTCTTTAGTAACATTGACTTGTATTTGTTAGAATTTACCATCACCTACCACCAATTTACCATCACCTACATCCACCTACTCCTCACCTACTACACTCACCCTCTCCTATATAATGAGCCACTCACCATTTGCTTCTACATCGGTCTGACACCGCCATACAGTGTCCTCTACAACGTTATGACACCACCATTCAGTGTCTTCACCAATGGTCTGATACGACCATACAGTGTCTCCTATCCTTTTTTTATTTTTATGTATTTTCTTGTTTTGTTCCTCTCTTCAAACTCAAGTTTGTTAGTTTCTATCCTCCTTGAGTTTTAATAGACTGACAACCTCATTACTTGGACCTTTAGAGCAGTCTTAAAAGAAGTTTCTTTCCAATACAATCTGACGTGGGAATTATAAGTTCATAACAAATAAGTCATATATATAGATAGTAAAACAAGGATTATATTGTATGCACGTGTGAAAGCATGACATAACAGGAAGTTCCACATTGGCTGGCCAAGAGGGATTTCCTCTGTCAAAGCATCGCCCTTGCTTGAATAGTTATTAAAATGGGTAGCCATTGGTGACAACCTGGGACTGTTCTGTTATTCTTGCTTATCTTGTCCAATTCGAGTACTGACCTAGGTGGCTTGGCTTCTTAGGACTGACCTAAAACCTTTACCAGCTTATTATCCTTGACAACTCTTTCCATGCACTATATATTTTCCCTAGCCAAATCAGACATTGTTTCCCTATTAAAAAGACTATATAGAGGAGAAAAACTTCAACTCCTACACACCCAATGCCTGCCCGAGGCGGAACATTTTTCACATGGAGATTTTATTTCCTATTTAATTTTTTTAGTAGTTTATTTAATTCCTATTATTTTTCAGTTATAGTTTAATTATGGATTTTATTAATATTTAGCTTTCCTATTTTATTAGGATTTTGTATCCTATATTAAATTAGAATTTTAGTCTACAACACCACGGTTTTTAACATTGAATTACTCCATCTGTCCCGTTTTGTTTGTTCATTTTGGAAATTTCTACTTTTTAAGGGGAAATGCAATAAACGCATTGGAATTCAAATTCAAAGGCATTATTTCTGATAATTGCCCTTTATTTCCCACTTTCAAATATACTTGCAACTATTTATAAGGGATAGTTTGGAAATTTGCACTTTGTTTGGTTTTCAAACTGAAATTGTTTTTTGTTTTTTGTTTTCTGTGTTTATATATATATATATATATTAGTCAAATTTTTTTAATTTTTAGATGAACCTCAAAAGTAAAAGATTTATGAAGAAAACTTTGAAAAGTCAAAACATAAATGTCCAACAATCTGTTTGGTTTAGTTTTTGAAAATTGTTATGAGTTTTTTGTTTCCCTCATTTTTTTGGGGGTGTGGTTTTTTTTTTTTTTTATTTGATAAATTTTTTGCGTGTGTTTTTAGTGAACTTTTTTCATATTTTAATCAAATTTCTTTTTACATTTTAGAAGCGCATAATCTTTTTGGGCTTCCCAAAACCAAAATGGAAATATGGACAAACAAAATGAGACACGGAATTTTTATTTTTGGGATAATAGTAAGCGTTCAATGTTGCCGCTGTTGTGTTAGGGTTGTGGCCCTTCTTCTCTCTCATCTCTTTTCCTACAGTGTTCTACATTAATTCTGGTATCAAAGCTGAAATAGATCCACTACTTTTGTTCGAACAATCCGGTTGCCTTCTTGATATGGCTTCGTTGTTTCAAACCCTCACACTATCATCTGAATCAGATCAGTGTGGTTGCCTGATTCATACAACCAAGATTTTGTCACCAAAAAAAGCGTTCAGAATTGGTCCTGTGCTGCCATCGCAGTCACATCACTGAGTATTGTACCCATCATCTGTTTTTCTGTGGTCACTCTCGACAACCGAACCCACCTTCATCACTACTTTGGTGCCATGTCTTTCATCGCAACATCTTCTAGACTAATCATCTATGCCACCACCTAAGAAGCACGGACACTTCTAAGAAGATGACGTATCCGTGTCGTGTTCGTGTCGGACGCCGACACTCTTTGGACACGTGTCTGACACTCTTCAAAACGTGTCCTATTTTTAAATTTTTTTTAAAGATCCAAACACTCTTTGAACACTTGGAGGACACATGTGTCAATCACTTAAACACACGTGTCTATCGATTAGACACATGTGAAACTAATTATAAGTTTGAATACAACAATTTAAGATATAATAATAAAACAAAACCCATATAAATTTATAGAAATTAGTGTCATATTGCATTTTATATTATATTTGAATGATATATTTATATATATAATATATAATAAATATATAAAATTATATATTTCATGCGTGTCCCCCACGTATCGTGTCCTGTATTTTTTGAAAATTAACGTGTCAGCGTGTCCGTATCGTATCCGTGTCGTGTCACGTGTCCGTGTCCATGCTTCTCAGCTACTAGGACATGTGTACAAGTGTTAGGTGCGAGTATGTGTTTAGGTGTCAGATTTATCTAATTCTCATATCGAAGGACATGACAGCATATTCATATTTTCAAAATACTTCTTTTATTTTTTAGACTAAAATGGTGTTACCAATGTGCCATGGACCATTTCATGCATAATATGGGAGTTTCACGCATAGTTACATTGCAAATTGAATTACTAAATACGCTTGCTAGTTGACTATATAACTACACATGTACACATATTCCATACCTTATCCAAGTGTTGAATGTCCGATACGGTTTTATTTTTATTTTTATTTTTAAGATAGGTTCTCAAACTATTCTATCATGTGCGGTTCAAATCACTTTCAAATTTTTTTTTTGGGTCCTGCAGATCCAGTTCAATTTCTGAAACTCCCATTTGTTAGCAAAACCTTCAGTTGCCCGGGGTTGGCTTTCGTGCCCTTAACCCATCACCTGTAACTCATTGGTATCCAACCCTGTCACACAGTGGACCTTCTCCTCCGCACCAATTAATCACTTGCACTATACATTTTACATTGGTGGCAAACCCAACAGAAAAGAAACAGCAGTCTATCCTGTATACAATTGTCCATCCTGTGTGCCCTCTCTTTGTTAGTGCGACCCCCTGTAAGCTCTCTCTCTTTTAGTGCAGTCCAACAGAAAAGAAACAATGGCTATGGCCAAAACGACGTCGTTTTGAGTACAGAACAATATAA